GAAGAGAATATGCTAGCGCAGATATAAATACGGAATTGTCAATATGTGAAGAGCCAAAGGCATGCTCTGAGCACTACTGCAGCGACATGAGATGGAGGGGGGGGCTGGAGGGGAGAACAGCCGTCAGTCCGTCAAGGGCTTCACACCTGCTGTCCGTTTCACAGGCTGCACGGAAATGAAAACAGCTTGTCTGGGATTCCCTCACCCCGGCCTGGATTCACGAAAGGCTCAAGCACTTTTAAAACAGCTCACAAATCTTCCCGGCTTCTCACAGAGGGGGTGCAAAGTGAGCCAGGGTCTCTCAAAAGGTTACGTGTATGCCTAACCGCATTCCAACTCACTGCCATCGAGTGGGTTCTGACTCACGGCAACCCTCTAGGACAGGGTAGACCTGCCCCTGTGAGTTTCCAAGATGGTCACTCTTTACGGGAGTGGAAAGCCTCATCTTTCTCCAGCAGAGCGGCTGGGGACTTTGACCTGTTGACCTTGGGGTCAGCAGTCGACCTCACAACCCTCTACACCACAAGGGTTGCTCTGCGTCAGAAGTGACGGCAGGGGGCGGGGGGGGGGCAGTGAGGGAGGAAGTCCTTACCGTGACTGTCCTAGAATGAAAGGAAGAGCATCCACAGGAATGCTGGGTCACAGGTGGGGGGTGGGGGATATCTGACCTATGACCTAGCAAGTCCACTCCCAGATATTTGGCGAAGAGCAATGAAAGCATAGGTCCACACCAAGAGTGGTCCACAGATGGTCAGAGATACTTTATTTGTAATATTCCAATTTTTGATACAACCCAAATGTTTACCAACAAGGGACTGGGTCAACGCATATATTCGTACAATGGAATACTACACAGCAGTGAAAAGAATGAACCACTGGTAACACAGCAACAGGAATGAATCTCATGCGTGAGTTCAACACGGATGAAAGTCATGTGAAAGAAGCCACACAAAATGGACTAGATGTTGCACAGTTCTGTTCCTGTACTACCCTCGAACACGCCGGCTCATCCAGAGTGACAGAAAGCAGACACACAGTTGCTAGGTGGAGAAGCTCCTGGGGATGATGGAAATGCTCACTCCCTTGCCTGTGTCGGCGGCCGTGCGGGTTGTGTTAGTCTGCGTTGTGTTAGTCAAGCCGACTGTGTGAGTCTGCGTTGACTAGAGAAACAAATCCAGAGACACTCATATGTGTGTAAGAGAGAACTTTATATCAAAGAGCAAACATCCCAGCCCAGTCCAAATAAAGTCCGTAAGTCTGATATTACTCCATATGTCAATA